GTAGAAAACCTGTCTGTCTGTCTGCATATCTGTCTGTCTGTTTGTCTCTATCTCTCCCTATGTATCTATCGGTCTATATTTCTGTCTGTCTGTCTATCCCTGTCTCTCCCTATGCATCTATCTGTCTATATTTTTATCTGTCTAGCCCTATATTTCTGTCTGTCTGTCTATCCCTATCTCTCCCTGTGTGTCTATCTGTCTATATTTCTGTCCTTCTGTCTATCTCTATCTCTCCCTGTATATCTGTCTGTCTATATTTCTGTCTATCTGCCTATCCCTATCACTTCTTACTAATATATATGTCTATATTTCTGACTATCTGTCTGTCCCTATCTCTTCCTATGTGTCTATCTGTCTATATTTCTGTCTGTCTGTCTATCCCTGTCTGTCCCTATCTCTCCTAGTGTATCTGTCCTATCTAGTCTGTCTGTCATAGTTCTGTCTTTCTGTCTATCTCTATCTTTCCCTGTATATCTATATGTCTTTATTTCTGTCTGTCTGTCTATAGTTCTGCCTTTCTGTCTATCTCTATCTCTCCCTGTATATCTATCTGTCTGTATTTCTGTCTGTCTGTCTATATTTCTGTCTCTCTGTCTATCCCTATCTCTTCCTGTGTATCTATTTGTCTATATTTCTGTCTGTCTGTCTGTCCCCATCTCTACTTATGTATCTCTGTCTATATTTCAATGTGTTTGTCTGTCTGTATTTGTTCATATATCTATCTGCCTCTTTGTCTATTTGTCTATCTGTCTGTCTGTCTTATCTGCCTATCTGTATATCTGTGTGTCTGTTTGTCTCTGCCTGCTTATCTGTATATTTTTCTGTCTGTGTGCTTATCTGTCCAACTATTCATCTATCCATCTGTCTTTTTGCCTGTCTGTCTGTCTATCTGCCTGCCTCTCTGTTGGTCTGCCTGTCTGTCTATGTGTCTGTCTACTTGCCTACCCATCCGTCAGGACGGTCACAGACCACAGTAAACCAGGACAGACGGGCGGGCGGGTAGGCTGTTTCACAGTGTGCTCACTGTATGGTATTTGGTAATCACTTTGTTTTGTATTATTTAAGCACTCGGTAGGTACATGTGTAACAGGCCAGAAGGGAACTGGGTCATTAACCCTGTGGCTCTCAGTCTGCTATTCAGCGTCATTTTTAATGCCCCAGTATGTCCTGTTTTGCGAGGTTAATCATATAGAACCTCTTCTCTCCCCATACTGCAAGATTTCCCTCAGGTACGGAGGCTGGACTCCACTCTTTATAAACAGTTCAGCCCTGAGCTCACTTCACACTGGATTTATGCTCTGAATCTGGACTGAGATCAATAGGTAGATTTACACAGTGCTGGCGGAAGTCTCTCCTAAGAGGAGGTGGACTGTTGCGGTGTGAGTGTACATGCACATTAGGACTGTGTTAGTGTTTGCAGGCAGTGATTACACAGGGCTAATATTTAGCATTGTTGTGATAAATTACGTCATGGTATGTCACCATATCTTTTCCGGTCATAATGTGGATCTCATCAGTGCTGAAAGATCACTGAACAACTGCATGTTTGCTTACAGAGCGAGTGTAATTAGTCCTGGTTTTTTGGGTTCAGTGCGGCACAGTATGAGACCTGGTGAATACAAATTAATGGAGGGCAATATGATGATATTTTATCGTTATCGTGATCAATTCCAATAGATAGACAGAGAGAAATATAGACAGATAGATACATAAGAATAGATAGGGACAGATAGAGAGAGAAAAATATGCTTTTCTAAGTGTATCGTGGATATCATTATCAAGGGTTATTATTTTTATTGTAGGATTTTTGTGTGTATCACTACAGGTTGTATTTTATCTGTTCCAACTTATTAAATCTCTTAACTAAGTATCATGAGACATATAAGTATTGTGAATGTCTTGAAGTATCACGATATAATGTTTTTTGCTCACCCAATACAAATCATTGTATTCATAGTATTTTTTAAATGTGAAACTACACTGTCTTTTCCAACTCATCAGGCAGAAATGTTGGAGCTCTAAGTCGTTTGTTGACCGTGAACATCAATAGAGAATAATGATTAAAACATTTCCATACGCCTTCAGACATTAAACCACCTGCTGCCTACCCCATAATGGCCATATTGCCATGATGCATATTTAAGACATTTAGCCTTATAAAATCAGTCCCTCTTAAAATATCAGACAGGTTTATGTGATTACACTTCACATATCAGACACTTCTGAATAATACTCATTAAATAACGTTATTCACAAGTGCTCTATATGCACAATGGTCTATATGAGGGCACATGTGCATGTGTAAGACACTCTGCGGCTGTAAAATGAACAGCAAATAAAAAAAAATGTTCACTAACGTGCTACAGATCACATTCAGCACAGTAACATCACCTGTTTAGTGAGCTGCCAGTATCCCTAAATAACCACCACAGCCTCTGCAACCTTTCATGATGTGCGATTCTTAGACGCTCCCTTAAACAGTAACGCATCTGAGTTTTGCTGTTCGAAGTCATAGGTCTGATCATTTTTGCACGTTTCTTTTTTGCTTCACTAATATCTCACTACTGAACCGCAAAAGTGGAACTAACATATATGTAATTGCGACTTCATGACATTTAAATTTTTTTTATAAAAATACAGTGTGAAGCTGTCAGTATTTTAGCTGCTTATCAGATTTTATATTTATCAGAAATATGAAAGTTTTCACTAACTGTGGACTGTGGATTCAAAAACATCTTCCTATTTTTTGTTTGTTTTTTTTGGTTCCTTTTGTTTTATGTTGCATAGTCTATTACCAAAATGACATCATATTTATAGATTTAAAATAATTGTAACATAGCACGATCATGTTTAACATTTAAACAGAAAAAAATTGAGAGAGCATTTCTTTACAGTTCTTTTAGCTAAAGCAATTGACAAACTCCTTTTTAATGGTATGGAACACCACCATGCATCCACTCTGCTGCTGTGCACTAATGAACGAGGAACACAGATTATTTCATGTGTTACATTTGTATTAAATAGGGACACATACATGGAAAATGATGAGGAATAGTCTGATGTCATACCGTTTATAGCGAGATGCTAATTTGCAATGTTTGTCCTCAGGTGGGCCTTTAATAAAACACCATTCATTAGGAGGGAAAGGAAGGGAGAAGTTCTGGTTGAAGAAGCCATGAGCCAAATGAGGAGATGAGTCTAATCTCCTGGTGCCCTGTGGCAACTGTTGATTATAGAAGTGGAGAGAGAGAGAGAGAGAGAGAGAGAGAGCTGCAGTAATTTAAGCCTGTAATCTCTGAGCATACTGCTGATAATGTGCAGGCTGTTGTCAGTGTGTGTGGAGTCCCTGAGCTGTTGCTTACACATGCTTAACTGGATTTAGACCCATTCTCTGCTTTACTAGCTGTGAATTCATTGGGCTCAGGCTAGCTTAGCACAGCTAAATGGCCAGTAGTGTTGAAGGTAGAAGGACGCGGCGTAACCTGGAGTCGAAGTACTGAAGACGAGCCCGAGCGCAGGATGAGTGGAATCCAGATTGATTTGGCTCGTGTTATTACTTATTCGGTTCAATTTGTTAGAGGATGAATGAAGCACAAATGAAAAAGGTGGTTTCTATGCAGCCATGTTCTCTGACCTGTACTGCTGTACTGATAACCACTCAATGCTTATTATTCAGTTATTCGTCTTTTTTTAATATAATTTCAATGTTAATTTTGGTGAAGTCAGTATTACTTTTGCGGTACTGATATCACACCACTCTGAAAAAAGCAGATGAGCCTCTAACCAATCACAGTGTTTGTTTACAGTGTGATGTGGTCGTCCTGACCAATCACAGTTAAGGATGAGAAGGTCTGTGGGTGGTTTAGGATTTCAAGAAATTCATATAATCTAACAAAATTCATTACTGATCAATTTGTAGCAGATGCTACATCATTTAAAGTGGGTACTGAACTACTTATAGTACTTGATAAATAATGAATAGCCATCAGTGAACGTCTATAGTAGTTACTGGATAATTCATAATAGGTGCTGAATAATTTATAACAGTTACTGAAAAATCCATAGTAGTTACTGAATCAGTCATAGCAGATACTGAATAATTTACAGTAGTTAGTGAAATATTCATGGCAGATTCTGAATCGTTCATAGTCAACACTGAATAAGTTACAGTAGTTACTGATTCATTCATAGCAGATGCTGAATCATTCATAGTCAACACTGAATAAGTTACAGTAGTTACTGAATCGTTCATTGAAGATGCTGAATCATTAATTGTCGACCCTGAATCATTTGCAATAGTTACTGAATCATTAATGGTAGATGCTGAATTATTCATAGTTGACACAAAATAATTGACAGTAGTTACTGAATTATAGTCAACACTGATTGTTACAGTAGTTACGGAATCATTCGTGGCAGATGCTGAATCATTCATTGTCGACCCTGAATCATTTGCTGTAGTTACTGAATCAATAATGGTAGATGCTGAATCATTCATTGTCAACCCTGAATCATTTGCTGTAGTTACTGAATCAATAACGGTAGATGCTGAATCATTCATACCTGACATTAAATCATGTACAATAGTTACTGAATCATTCATGGCAGATGCTGAATCATTCATTGTTGACCCTGAGTAATTTACTGTAGTTACTGAATCTTTCACAGCTATTGCTGTATCGTTAATAGTAGTTACTGAATCATTTATCGCAGTTACTGGCGTTCATTATAGAGCATAGGGTTCCCCACTGATATTAGCAGTAGTTGGTAATATACAGTGATATTTTATAGTTACTGAATTATTTAGTAACGTTTATAAATTATTCAGTAACTGCTACAAATGATTCAGCAGCTACTATAAATCATTCCGTAGCTACTATGTAATAATTTTATTAACTACTATAAATTGTTCAGTAATGAATTTTCTTTCTTAATTATTAACAAATGATATACTGTGAAGCCCCAGGTGTAAATGTGAATCTCTCTCTGATATTTTGCAGATTTCCAGTGGGTGCAGGGGGATGTCTGTGAGGTGCAGCTGATGGTGTATAACCCCATGCCCTTTGAACTTCGTGTTGAGAACATGGTAAGTCACTGTACGCCGTCCCCAGATGGGCAGCCGAGCTTTCTGTGGACTCGGCTGTGACTAAACATCATAGGTTCGATCCCACCTTATGGTTCCTGCCGCTCAGCTTTTAGGACACTTACCAAGTTACTCTAGAGTGATTGACTGATGTGAGATACATCTGAAGATTTCAACCTGGTAGTGCTGCTTTTGTGCTGTTTAAACAAGTGTTATAATGATTTATACTCCTGCTTAAAATGCTCTAAAACTTTCATATTCTAGACACAGTCACTCTGACAGACTGTAATACACTACAGGAAGTGTAGGGGGCGATATGGCTTCTGTTGTTTTATTAAAAAGAGCTCTATAATGTTCATATGATCCACACAGTCATTCTGACAGACTGTAATACACTACAGGAAGTGTAGGGGGCGATAAGTCTTCTACTGTTTCATTTAAAAAGAGCTCTATAATTTTCATATGATCCACACAGTCATTCTGACAGACTGTAATACACTACATGAAGTGTAGGGGGCGATAAGTCTTCTACTGTTTCATTTAAAAAGAGCTCTATAATTTTCATATGATCCACACAGTCATTCTGACAGACTGTAATACACTAAATACTGAAATGCTCTGTAATGTTCACGTCACCTCACGGTCGTTCACGGTCAGTTCCATATTTCGTCTGTGTTCTCAGCATTGTGGAAATCATAGGGCCTTCATAACTGTCTGCATGACTAGAATGTTGGCAGAGAATTTGTACTGAATTCTAGATTTAGGACTTCTAGAAAAAGGCAGAGAGAGAGAGACTAATAGCAGCAGAGCTGTGTGGACGAGGTGATTGTGTGTGCTGATAAATTGGTGCACTTCTCTTTAATTACCCTTTTAAAGACCTGAACCTGACACTGTAATGTCCTAATGATCGTACCGAACAAACTCCTCCATCTTTCTGCTGTCAAACACAGAACAGAACAGCAGAACCCTGCAGAGACACTGACCTTAACCCCTCACCAGACTGCCCCCTGTCTCAGCGGAGACAGAGACCGAGAAGAGGGAGAGAGAGAGAGGAAAAAAGAGTAAGCTTGGTAAGGAAAAGAGGGTATTCTGTGAGGAAGAGAGGAATTGTGAGGGAAAAGAGAAGGGGAAAGATTGGAAGGGAAAAGAGAGGGGGAGAGAGACTGTGGGGAAGACCAGAGAGAGAAAGAAAGAGGGATTGTGAGGAAGAGAGACAGAGGAAAAACAGAGAGAGACTGCGAAGACATGAGAAAAAGCAGATGTGCTAATAGAATGGATGGAAATGGAATGCAGATGTGCTTCTAGAATGAACAGGAAGAGGATGCAGGTGTGCTTAAAATGTGCTTCTGGAATGGATGGAATCAGAATGCAGAAGCGCTTCTAGAACTGGTGGAGTTCCCATCCAGATGTGATTCTAGAGTGGATGTAATTAGAATGCAGATGCGCTTCTAGAACTGGTGGAGTTCCCATCCAGATGTGATTCTAGAGTGGATGTAATTAGAATGTAGGTGCACTTCTAGAACTGGTGGAATCCACGTCCAGATGTGATTCTAGAGTGAGTGTAATCAGAATGCAGATGTTCTTCTAGAACTGGTGGAGTTCCCATCCAGATGTGATTCTAGAGTGGATGTAATTAGAATGCAGATGTGCTTCTAGAATTGGTGGAATTTCCATCCGGATATGATTCTAGAGTGGATGTAATCAGAATGTAGGCGCACTTCTAGAACTGGTGGAATCCACGTCCAGATGTGATTCTAGAGTGAGTGTAATCAGAATGCAGATGTTCTTCTAGAATCGATAATACAGTAATGCAGCACATTTGACTTTGATAGACGTCTAACACTAACCATTCAGCCAACTGCATTGTTTAATCTATGTGAATCTTTTTCAGGCTCTTAGTGAGGTTCTCCTTTTGAGGCTTGGTTCCTCTCAATGGTTCTTCCTCATGCTCTTAGTGAGGTTCTCCTTTTGAGTCTTGGTTCCTCTCAATGGTTCTTCCTCATGCTCTTAGTGAGGTTCTTCTTTTGAGTCTTGGTTCCTCTCAATGGTTCTTCCTCATGCTCTTAGTGAGGTTCTCCTTTTGAGTCTTGGTTCCTCTCAGTGGTTCTTTTGCACATAAAGCTTTCCCTCTCTGCGTCCCTGCGCTCGTTTGCTGTCTTTGTTTGTTTCTTTCCTTCTCCTATCTTTTTCTGTCTCTATCTGGTTTCTACTCTCCATTCCACAAATGTGCTCAACTCCGTTGTGTCTTCATAATGACATACTTGCAAGGCTAAATTCATTTATTTATACCCCTAGCTGCTGCCCCCCCCCACACACACTTCATTTGCTAGTGCTTTGTAATGATACTGTGCTTCTGGTTGTGTCTTTTGTTTTTATTTCCTTTGGGTATGTTTTAACTTTTGAATATTGAGAAGCAATTATTATTGCAGTGAAACGGGAGGAAAGGGGGGGGATATAAAATGAACAAAAGAAAGTGTTTCGGCTGGATCTCTGTGGCAGCCGCAGGTGAAAGTCTGCATTTGGACACCTACTCTTGGAGACAGAGACACATCATTAGTGTCGGTGCACAAGCTAATTAACCTTTTCAAAGAAGGATGCAAATGAGTTATTTCCAATAGGTTACGCTGGATATTCGTTAGTCCATACAGGGCCCACGCAGATCCGGAGAATGCAGAAGGCATGCTGTCGTGCAGCGCCGGTCAGTACAAAGGTCTGCAATGATCAGACATATGTGATTCCAGCTGATATCAGTCACACTTTGTGCGTAAAGGGGATGAAAGTGATGCAACAGTTTTTGCGGAAGTTAAAATGCCACATGATTTTCCTTTTTCGCACCCTGACCTAGCAGATCCACTGCACACGTACACCATGCTTTCAGTTTAATATGAAGTAGCTAAATCTAATTCTCTTTCATTTCACTGACTCACTGAATCACTTAGGTTTGAGCCGATTTACTATCAATCCCTGATACTTTCCATTTGTCATGATTGTCAATCAACTTGGATGATGCAAATGTCTGAAAACATGCCGTCTGCCACACAAAGTGAATTATATTTATCTCTTAATCTGTTTTCTTTTAATATAATATATTAATCCACATTTTGAATCAGTTCTGATATGTTGTCTGGCTTTAGATTGTTTAGTAGCAGCGCAAGGTAGGTCTTTTTTTGTTTTACCTGTGGTGCTTGTTAAACCATGATCCAGTCTTCCACACATGGAATAGCTTCCCTCATAAAACATGATCAGAGGCTTAAAAGATTTTTACAGCATGATTAGTTATTAAAAAAAAAAGAACACGCATAGCTACAGTAACAGTAGCCTTTAGACTACTGCACATGGTAAGCTTTAGTCATTACCAGAAAAATCAAACAAGACAAAAACAACTACCAAACCATACCAAAAAGACCAAACCATTCCAAAAACTACCAAATCATACCAAAAACTACTAAACCATACAAAGAAAAACCGAACCTCTCCAAAAACTACCAAATCATACCAAAAACTAAGATAAACCAAACCATACCAAGAAAAACCAAACCTCTCCAAAACTACCAAATCATACCAAAAACTAAAATAAACCAAACCATACCAAGAAAAACCAAACCTCTCCAAAACTACCAAACCATACCAAGAAAAACCAAACCTCTCCAAAACTACCAAATCATACCAAAACTACCAAACCATACCAAGAAAAACCAAACCTCTCCAAAACTACCAAATCATACCAAAACTACCAAACCATACCAAGAAAAACCAAACCTCTCCAAAACTACCAAATCATACCAAAAACTACCAAACCATACCAAGAAAAACCAAACCTCTCCAAAAACTACCAAATCATACCAAAAACTACCAAACCATACCAAGAAAAACCAAACCTCTCCAAAACTACCAAATCATACCAAAAACTACCAAACCATACCAAGAAAAACCAAACCTCTCCAAAAACTACCAAATCATACCAAAAACTACCAAACCATACCAAGAAAAACTGAACCACTCCAAAAACTACCAAATCATACCAAAAACTAAAAAAAACAAACCATACCAAAAACTACCAAACCATAACAAGAAAAAAACAAACTGTTCCAAAAACTAGAAAACCATAAAAATACCAAACCATTCCAAAAACTGTTGAATGATACCAAGGAAAAAAAAACAAACCATTCCAGAAACTACATCATAACAAGAAAAAACAAAGTATTCCAAAAACTAACAAACCATACCATGAATTACCAAACCTTATCAAAAACTTACCAAACCCTACCAAGAAAAAAAACATACCAAAACTTCCAAATCATACTAAGAGCCATGAGAACAACTATACCATGAAAAATCAAACCACACTTCCATACCAAACCGTACTAAGAAGAAAATTCATTTCTGATCAGAAAGCCTGTTTATTTTCTCCAGTTTAATCAGATGTGGTGTTACCACATAACCTGTTATGCTGAAAAAAGTTATTGGAGAAACTGAATCTTAATTCAGAGGATCCTCAGTCAGCCGATGTGCCGAACTGCCACTCAACAAGTTTCATCAGTTGGCAAGGCCGACTGGATGATGTCATGTTGCACACAATATCACAAGCTTACTTACTTATTTACTGACTTATTTATTTACTGACATTTCATGCCAAAACTTTCTCAAAACTCTAGTAAAACAGTGTTTCAGTAATCAGGTGGTGTCTTCATAACCATTTCATGTGGTAATTTTTTGTGAGGGAGATCTTAAGAAGCATTAAACACTTCAGACGTCTGGTTCCTATCATCACCACTGAACAATTCTGACTCTGTAAAGTGGAGCCTTTCACACCAAACCACTCTGAATGACTGTGTTTACATGTTAATGATACAGACGTTTTGAAAAATGGATGGAATTCATCTTTTAAGGCGATGTTTTCTTCACATTTCTAATTATACGAAGTAATTATAATTTGACTGGGGAAAAATAGCAATTTAATGTGCATATTTTTCAAAATCTCTGCACCAAAAATAGCAGTTTTCCTGAAAGGGGTCTGAATTGAGCTATCAAAACCCAGCTGAAAAGCCCACTCGCTGCTAAGCAGTGCTGTGTAACGCCTCAGTAAATCTCCCGGTCGAGTGGTCGCAGGACAAAGATCTCTGTGGTTTCATTCTGCGCAAGGCTGCCATATTGATTTTCCTTTCTTTGTCCCAAAACACGTTTCTTTACGAAGGTGTAATTGGATCCTTAGGTGGAGACGGTCCACTTTGCAAAGCCAGCGCTCATAAACAGGTTCCAGAAATGAGAGTGTTGACCTTCTAGAGCATCGAGCGCATTGAATATCCTCTTAGTGTCCCGTTTTCTCCTGTGAGAGCAGAGCTGCTGGCACTGGCAGAGGCGAGGCAGAATCACGCTGCATATCAGCAGGCAGACGAGCTGCTCTGCTCCCATACGCATCTGCTAATAATCCTCACTCAGTACACGGTCAGTAGAGTTAGTGCAGCCAGAACACAGCCTGACCTCGCACAGCCTGACCTCGCACAGCCTGACCTCGCACAGCCTGACCTCGCTCAGACTGACCTCGCTCAGACTGACCTCTCTCTCTGTCTCTCTCTGTCTGTCTTTCCACTCTCTCTCTGTCTCTCTCTGTCTGTCTTTCCACTCTCTGTCTGTCTGTCTCTCTCTCTGTCTCTCTATGTCTCACTCTTTCTGGCTTTCTCTGTGTTTATCTCTCTGTCTGTGTCTCTCTCTCTCTCTCTCTCTCTCTCTCTCTCTCTCTCTCTCTCTCTCTGCCTCTCTTTCTCTCTAGCTCTCTCTGTCTAACTCTGTCTCTCTTTCTTCTCTCTCGCTCTCTCTCTCTGTCTTACTCTGTCTCTTTATATCTCTTTGTCTGTCGCACTCTTTGTCACTCTCTCTCTCTCTCTCTCTCTCTCTCTGTCTTTTCCTCTTTGTCTCTCAAATTCAAATAACTTTATCGGCTTGAATTGTAATGAACAATTGTTGCCGTAGCAATTACTCAAATATTATAGTAGAATATGAAAATAATGTATTAGAGAAATAAGAGTAATAAAGAAATATTGTAAAATTGAGATACATTCATATATAAATATACTTTATTATGAATCAAAAACATTTCTCAATTTTTTTTTGCCCTCTGGTTGCTGTCAGAGGTGGGAAGCAATAATTTACATTCGATAAAATGACTAACAAAAAGTTAAACATGTAAAATAACCTTATCGTTCGCACACGACAGTTTCGTCATGAGAAATATTGGCTAACGTGTGTCAAATGATGTTCTCTTGATTTTCTAAGTGAAAAAAGTTAACGCATCCTCTACAGAGAACACTCTTCTGTACATACGTAAAATGTGGCATGTGCAAAAGTTATGGCACATCATTTCTAACTTTAATCTCTGCAGATGAATAGATATCCACATGCCACATTTAAGTTTGTTCACTGTTGATGTGTTAACAAATTCACTAAGAAAGTTGACAAAATGACTGAATATTGCCCTGATGATGATTTTATTTTGCAAAGATATAATTTTTATGGTCAGTTGTCACACATTTGTTGAAGCAAAACCGCATCTGTAATATAAACATGTATATGCTGGCGATGTATTAGGAAGAAGTGTTTTTATGCACATATTGACTATAATCCCTGGCCCTGGTCCCGTGGTGAAACCCAAGCCAACTCGTGTGTCTCATCTAACGGTATCATTTTGGGGAACGTGATTGAAACAGCACAAACTGTATTATGTCCGGTGAAAACAAGGTGGCTGTATTTGAGGAGAAGAAGAAGAAAAAGAAGAAGAAGAAATGCTGGGGGGATGGTTGTTTTCTCTCCATCCTCCCCTCGTCCTCTTCTTACTCTCCCCCAATGAGAGCAGAAACTGTTCTTTTTCAATCTCTCGCTCTCTCTCTCGCTCTCTCTCTCGCTCTCTCTCTCGCTCTCTCTCTCTCTCTCTCTCTCTCGCTCTCTCTCTCTCCTCTACTGTGAGCAGAAACGATTTTCTGACTAGAAAATGGATTGCATGCGCTGTGAGTGATTTTGTCTCACGCTGATCACCGACCGATTAGAATGATTGATCATCTGCTAGAGAGACAGAGAGAGAGAGAGAGGAAAAAACAGCTCGCTATTCACTTTAGTTCAAAAGAGCTTTTTTGAGATGACCATATTAAGTTACATCAATCAATGCACTCACACATTCACACATCTAACTAATTCAGTCCTACACATGTTAATAATGTTATTATTTTCACTACGAATATAACTACGCGCATTATGCAATGCTAGGCAGAAGTCCGAGACCATTCGTTTATTTAATTTCCAGTCACAACTACCATGAAGTAAAAGTTTTTTTAGGAGAAATTTCTGATGATATTAAATGTAAGATATTTCACTTGCATAAGGAGGGAGAAAAGTAAATGGAAAATAAGGGAAAAAAGCAGCAGTTTCTAAAACTGGAGTGTAAAAAAAAAGGATTAAAAATTACACAGAAAATGGGAACCCACCTGCAATGCCTGGTAGACCACCAACACTGTCCCCATCAGATAAACAGGACTTACATTCAGTCTCTCTCTCTCTTTCCTTTTTAGACATGATCATGAACTCTGTCTATATTTCTAAGTTTGACATCATTGATTTTTGTTTTTACGTTTTACAAGAGCTCCATAAACATGTTTCCAACAAACCTCTATTATATTTGCTTATTTTAGTTGTATTTGTTACATTATTTGTCATAGGATTGATAATGTAGTTTATATTTATAATTTAGTTTTATCATTCAATGACAGCAGACGTTCTTTGCTTTCTTTCTTTCGCTTTGAACAATTTTTGGAGAGTTAAATGAGAAAACAGAGACTTTTTTGAGTACTTTCTGTGTTGCTGAACAGCACATACAAAGTAGTTTGCTCGTAATCAGTGTTGTATTTCTTAACATTGTTCTGTAAGCAGAAACTCATAAGCATCACTTAACATTTCAGTCCCTACGTCAGTACAAGTGGAATTAGCAGAAAGCTGACATTCATGCCCTCTAGAGAGTGAGGATCATCAGGACCCCGTGTGGCCATGAAATGCTTTAAATCACATGAGGACGCTCAGAGTGAATCACTCGGAAGCTCTTCTTTCCTTCCTGCAGAAACGCTTGTCTGGGTGCAGGTGGTTCACCTGCTTTACACTTCTTAATGATTCATGTTGCTGTTTTATAAAGCAATAAGCCACTTGAGGCCACGTGTTACAGTGATTTTACTTTTACATAACAACACCCTTTAACTGTGGTACAATTAGTATTAATTTAGTTTTATAAAGTGTAGTTTTATTATAGTTTTATACACCAGTGAGCAAAACATTATGATCACAGATGAAGCGATTAACGTTGCGTTATTGTAGCAATGGTGCGATAACTGGGACATGTCAGATGGTTACAGTCGGTTCTTGTTATGGACATGTACGAGAAATGGGTAAGTGGGAAAAGACCTGAGTGACTTTGACAAGGGCCAAATCGTTATGGCCAGATGACCGTGTCAGAGCATCGCCTGTGGGGTGCTCCTGGTCAGCAGTGGTGAGTACCTAACGTCAGTGGTCCCAGGAATGACACAGGCGACAGAGTGCAGGACGTCCAAGGCTCATCAATGAGCAAGGGTAATGAAGGCAATCATGTCTGGTCCGAATCGACAGAAGGGCTACTGTGGCTCAAGTCACAGAAATTTCTAACAGTGTTTACAGGAGGTAGCACTGCTCATTCTGCTAGTGTTTAGTGACCAGCTAAGTGACCACTGAACTTCTAATGTTCAATAAGAGTAAATCCACTAACTAGCTAGCATTTTTACTTCTTAACTTTCTATAAAATTAATGTTATCGGATAAGCTTACATGCACCCATATGCAAAAGTTTGAACACCCGGTCAAACTATGTTTTGGTAAAGTTCCCTCTATGGGGAATGAACTTAAATATGGTGTTTTTCTGCTGTTTATTTGCTAAGTTTGACATTATGGAAAAAATAAAACATAAATAATAAAATGTACTTTAGCTTTTCATAGGACCCCATGTAAAATTCAGCTAGTAAACAGTAATTGAGCGTTAAAATGTGCTGTAATGTGTTCTCTGTTCTCTACTTTTGCATACGACTGTATCTAATATTTCTCATGATGAAATTGAGGCAGAATTAAAAAGTTTGTTCTTCCCTTTGGTATAGCCTTTTTAGTTGTTTGTTTAGTATTTTTACCAGTGATTTTGTTTACTGAAATTACTGTATTCCATCAGCAGATTGTTTTGATTCATATCAGTTCCATTGAGTCAGTAATTGTTGCCCCGTAAAGTAGCTGAAGTCACTCATTAGAAGGGCTGTCTGGGTGTTTTTGGATGGATGGTGTACCTTATAGGGAAAAAACTGAAAGTGAGTCTCCTGAAAAGAAGCAGTGATATAGCGAAAGGGTGGACAGACCAAAGCCCTGTACATAATTACTAACTGTATATAATGTGTGTTTTTCTTTAGGGCCTGTTGACGTCCGGTGTGGAGTTTGAATCTCTCCCTGCTGCTCTCTCTCTTCCGGCTGAGTCTGGCCTCTACCCCGTCACTCTGGTGGGAGTCCCACGCACTGCAGGCAACATCACGGTCAATGGTGAGTTTAGCAACAGCTACATTCTCACCTCAGTAGTGGTAGACTTATCAGTGAATTCAACAACGGCTACAGCCTTCCTCAGTAGTATCATGGTGTTTTGTGTGTAGGGTACCACACATCTGTGTTTGGAGTGAGCAGTGACTGCCTGCTGGAAGGTCTGGTTGGGGTGAAGTCCAGCGGCTGCACGGTGGAGGTAGTGCCATCTCTACCACGACTCCAACTGAGCACATCGCTACCACGGTACATCTTCTCTTCTCTTCTCTTCTCTTCTCTTCTCTTCTCTTCTCTTCTCTTCTCTTCCCTTATTTCCATTTTTTGTCTTTTTTATCAATTAGTTTTCTCTTCTTTTCATTTAATATCTCCTCTTTCTCTTCATTCATTTTCATGTGTCTCTTCTCTTCTCTTATTTCCATTTTTTGTCTTTTTTATCAATTAGTTTTCTCTTCTTTTCATTTAATATCTCCACTTTCTCTTCATTCATTTTCGTGTGTCTCTTCTCTTCTCTTCTCTTCTCTTCTCTTCTATTCTCTTCTCTGTTGAGATGGCCAGGTAAGAACAAAATCAAAGCTGTGACGAGTGTGAGATTTAGGCAAGATATAGTAAAGAAATGGAACTGTGGAAATGGAAATTTTACGTATGATCTACCATTAAGAAACATTTATAAAAATGTTTATGGACAAAAAGCACATCTATTAAGTTTCAGAATACAAACATTTTTTAAAACACCTACTATGACCAATGTGCGTGAAAATAAATAAAGATATTTACTCAGGAAAGAGATGAAGAGACCCATCGCTCATTACATGCTAACGCTGGTGAGGCGTGCAGTTTGTGTCCTCATCTGCATGCACTTAAACACTATGTATATTGCAGCCTAATGCAGATGGAGTTATAAACTGAAGCACCCTGTAATGGATGCACTTCTGTGTTTAATGACGAACTGCGTTACTCTCTCACTGCACTCGCGTGTATGAATAATTAAAGCGTGAATTCTGTATCACAGTCACGGGAGGTGTAAAGTGGGCATCGACTGGGCAGGAAGTGTTCAGGTTTACGACCACCGCCTTCTACATTAAGAGCTTCTTCACTTTCTGAAAGCCGGAGGTTTTCAAGGTCTCTCTACTCAAGACCCGCTTCAGAACTCTCGGGCCTCGTCCATGCTAATACAATATATGTGAAAACACTGTTTTCAAAGAACATTTCATCCACTCTAAAACGTCTATACTGAGCATGCACACACTTAGCCTGTCAGGGCCAGACGTGATGTAATCGGTCCAACCTGCAAAAGTTACTACAAAAGTGTGATTTATGGGCAGAGCCTATAGATCACTTGTAAAAGAGCGGGCCGGTAGACCGGTCATTTAGACTGGTAAATGAAGAGGTGAACTCGTGAGGAGATGTTGCAGCCAAGATCATGTGATGGTGGACCCTTTTTTGTGTGGTGATTTTGTTGGTTGGTATGTTTTGAAGCTTTTTAGCAGTTAACTTTAAGTGATATTGCTGCTTAAACACTGAAATAAACAAACATCGGCTTGTTAGTTAACTTAAACTGGGGTTACACTACATGACTTTTGCCCCGACTGTAGCCCTGATTCTCAGTCAGGTCGAGTCTGTGCTAGTCGACTCTAGTCTGCAGATTTTCGGGTCAGTCAGAGTCGACAGTTGGAGAGAGAGTCGAGTCGTGTCTGAGGGGCGCAGACTCCGATTTTCAGCCTCCTGATCGCGTTTCAGCCCAGTCGGAGTTTATCAAACGTCTAATTTTTAAACCCGACCCGAGTTATCTAGTGTAAACTGGTCAACGACTCAGTCTGAACCCCCTCCTGCAAAAGCCAATGAAAACTGAGAGCGTGGAAGAAGAAAATATAGGAAGTAAACAAAGAAAAATGGCGAAAAGTCTCTCACGTGTGGAGCGGAGCTTTTTAATGAGCTGATTTTAAGGCATGAGCACAGTCGAGTTTATGTACATTGAAAACTCTAAAAAGTTCCACACTGATTACTTTTTAAATCTGTGATCCTCACTTAAACAGGTTTAGCTGCTGCTTCTTTACTGTGTCAGCGAAAACGGCAGAGAATACAGCAGCAGCAGCTCCACGTTTGTTTATTTGCGTCTCCTAGTAATGGGAGAATGCGAGAGTTTGCGAGAGTTTGCGAGAGAGAAATTAACATAAGGTTGTTCATTTCTTTTTTTTATTTAGTATTTATGATTAATGTGTCTGTAGTAGTGTTGCCCAGGCATTAATAGGTAAATGTGAGATATTAATCAGATAGAAAAAGATTCAAGGATCCACATTCAAATCAGCTCAGATTTCTTCTGCAGACACCTCACATGACTTCAGCTTAAATAAGAGAAGCTGCGTAATGTAACTAACTACTCAGGATGGCATTAATATTATAACATCATGACTTTACAGCCTGCATGTATGTGTGCTGTAATTATGGTGGATTAGCTGATGCTTCTTATATAACTGTGTTGAACTGCGCTGAATGTGGATCGTGCTTTAAGTGTCAGCTCTGCTGTTTCTGCTCTCGAGTAAATCTCAGAGTGTAGAAGAGAGTGGAGGAGTATCTGAGGACACAGTGCAGACTCTCCCTCTCTTTCTTTCTCTTTTCTCTGTCTCTCTTTATTTCTGTCACTTTCATTCTCCCCATCCTCTCTTCATTTTTTTTCTTTGTCCTCTATTTACTTTTTTTTGTCCTTTTCTCTTTTTTCACTTTCTGTTTCTCTCACTGTCTCTTGTCTTCTCTTCTTTTTTCTTTCTTTCTCTTCTCTTTTCTTATGTCTCTTTCTGTCTCTCTCCCCTTTTTTCTCTCTCATCCTCCCTCTCTTCTCTTTCTCTCTCTCTCTCTCTCTCTCTCTCTCTCAGTAGAAAAGAAGCTGTCATGTCGCTGATATTTCAGACTGATGTGTGTGTAACATGCCTTTAGCTGTCTCAGACCAGAGCAGTGCAGTTCTTTTACTCTTTCTGTCTTTTTTCTGTCATGCTGTGTGAATCTGCCTGTTCCTTTATTCTGCCTTTCTTCCTTTCTTTTTCCATTTTAATCCAGCAGCCAATTTATTATTCCATTCATTGTCCACTTTGCCAGAAACAGCTATTTTATGCATTACTTGCCGCTTTATTAGAAATGCCTTTTTTGTAGCTCCACTATGCTGGTGTTCAGTTGGAGACAGTAGCTCATCTGTTGTTGCATAGTTTGTGTCTTGTCTGGATATTTTTTGGTGGTGGTCCATTACCATGAACACTACCATGAACACTACCATGAACACTAACATGATCACTACCGTAAACTCTACCATGAACAGTAACATGATCACTAACATGATCGCTACCATGATCACTACCATGAACACTAACATGAACACTAACATGATCACTACCATGATCACTACCATGATCACTACCATGAACACTAACATGAACACTAACATGATCACTACCATGATCACTACCATGAACACTAACATGATCACTACCATGATCACTACCATGAACACTAACATGAACACTAACATGATCACTACCGTAAACTCTACCATGAACAGTAACATGATCACTAACATGATCGCTACCATGAACACCACCATGATCACTACCATGAACACTGAACGCCATGAACACTACCATGATCACTACCATGAACAGTAACATGAACTCCACCATGACTACGAGTACCACTGTGAACTCTTCCATGTTCACTGCCATAAACTCTGCACTACCCTGTCAGAATCTCTGCTGTGCTGAGAATTAACCACCCCAGTTATTTCTGGACAACAGCTGTCCTGTGCTCAGAAACTAATCACTGATGAATGATGTACGGGAGGCTGATAAATTGTACAGCAACAGATGAGCTACAGTCTGTAATTGTACACCCACATAGTGAACCTAGACAGAAATTGGAAGGACAAGGTAGGTGTTTCTAATAAAGTGGCCAGTGAGTGAACGTACACGGTAGGTGTTTCTAATAAAGTGGCCAGTGAGTGAACGTACAAGGTAGGTGTTTCTAATAATATGACCAATGAGTGAAAGTACAAGGTAGATGTTTCTAATAAAGTGGCCAGTGAGTGGAAGTACAAAGTAGTTGTTTTTACTAAAGTGGCCATCCTGGCTGACTCTAATGTTCTGGTGTGTTTGCAGGTCTGCACGTTTGTGTGGTGAGGATCTGTCCAGCAGTGTGTGTCTGCAGCTCTTCAACGGAGAAACTCAGCAGCTCGTCATCACCCTGGAGAACATTGGCTCAGAAACTCTGAATACACTGGAGCTGTCCTCTAAAACACTCACTACCAAAGGTACAGACTCACACAGTATTAACTAGGGACGCACAGTGACATTGGAATCATACTCATATTGGCAGATATTTGCTAAAAAAGTAGATTTGACCGGTTTTTCAAACCCGATATTTGATAGTTGAGTTATGAAAGAGCAAAATGTTTAGGTGATGCTGGGTTACTGTGTTAAAATATCTGCTTTTTCCTGTTTTATTATTCTACTATGCTGTTTCATGGGTTGCAGTTTTTGAACAAGCACCGCAGAACTTTGATCATAGAGCCAGTGTGGGAATAGCGTGCTTGTGCTTTTGGGACCCCCCCCCATGAGTAGCGAAATGTTGAGAAAGTTCAGAACTAATTGCCACAAATGTGACACCTCTCACACTGCCTCTCATAGACATTACATACAGACTCACATACATATTAGCACACATATTAACACACCCACATTAGCAGCCACCTGGGATAGCATAGCAACAGCCTTGCAACTCCCTTAGCAACCACCTGGGATGACATAGCAATGCCTTGGCAACCACCTGGGACTTGATGGCATCAGCTTTCAGCATAAGTTTATTCCCAAACTTCCCCCTTCTAGTTTGTTTGTAATACGTTTGTAGCCCCACAGAAATAAATGTTCTCTTTCTCCGTAATACTAATGCAGTTGAATCTAGTCCCAGTTTCTACATTTTAGAATTGTTCCATTGTTCCAGTATTGGCAGATACGTACGTGAACAGTTTTTAGATATTGGCAGCAGCCCAGAATACCCATACCGGTGCGTCCACATTATCTACAGTAGTACAGCATGTTTAAAGTGTTTAAAATGCTGTTCAGCTCAGTGTATATGGTAGTGATCCAGCTCTGTGGGGTTTGGCTGGCTGCCAGAGGGGTTCTACAGGTCAAAAGCAATGATTGGTCTCATGTACCAGTAAACACTTTACCCTTCAGAGGGAGAGAGAGAACAGATAGTGAGGAGAGGGGGAGGGAGGGAGGAGACAGAGCGAGAGAAAACAGAGAAGGAGACGGAGAAATTGGAAAGAGGGAGAGAGAGGATTCGGAGAGGAGGGAGTGAGGCAGAGAAAACGATCGTGCACGGTTTTCAGTGCAGCCGCAGTCCTTTCATTGTAACATGGCAGAGTTTTAGAAAATAAAGGCATAATCAGCAGCACAAAGGAAAAAGGTTTCTGGAAAAACTCCTTTCAACCTCTTATAAGGATGAACAAACAATTGCTCCTTTCAGCTTAATCAGCCTTTTCATCTTTAATCAGCCTTTAAGGATTGTGATGATGAGAACCTTTATCATTTTTTTTCTATCACATCCTGCGCTGTGTAGAATCTATGCAAGATGACCTGCCAGACAGGCTCTTCACAGAACTTGAGCACCACACAAGAACCATCATAACGGCAGTTTGGTGTCCATGGTGAGGGAATGCACAACTCAATATATCGACATCTAAGTCTACTTTTGTAACAGTGTGAAGGACAAAGACACCAAAGAAGCAATATTCTCATAGTCCAACAAATCCTTTTGGCACTCCTGGTGTTCTGATGAATTATCCCACCTTCTCAAAATGTCCTATCGTAGCACTTATTTATTGGTAGCACTTTTTTATTTGAATAGCCTGAATGACCTTATCAGAAAATGGTACCAGCATTAAAACTACAGGTTGGATATTTTGATAGCCCAAGTCACCTTATGAGAGAGTAAGAAATAACATGTACCTGAGTCTGTATAATATGCTTGAAGTGAGACTGAATTAATGTTAAAAACACAATAAAACGTTCAAAAAAACTTCAACCTTGTTTTCAAAGAAGTTGGGACGCTGTGCAAAATGTAAATAAAAACAGAATGCAATGATCATGTAAACCCTATATTTAATTGAAATTGGTACAAAGACAACAAATCAAATATTGAAACTGAGGCATTTTATTGTTTTTTGAAAAATATATGCTGATTTTCATTTGATGCCAGCAACATCTTCCAAAAAAGTTGGTATAGGAGCATGTTTACCCCTGTGTTTCATCACCTCTTCATTTAACAGCACTGTTTAAGTGTTCATGTGTAGTGCAGACCCCCTGAAGCCATAGACCCCAGTTGTCAACAAGGCACTGTGCAGGCTGGTGGTGGTTCCGTACTAGCATGGGGTGTGTTCTCATGGCGTGGATTGGATCCACTGATCCACCTAAACACATCATTGACTGGTAACCACTACGTTTCACTGCTTGGTGACCATTTGCAGCCCTACATGGAACTCATGTACCCCCACAATGAAGGGATATTCCAGCAGGATAATGCACCGTGCCATCGGGCCCAAGTTGTGGTTCGAGGAGCATTCTGGAGAGTTCTGACGAATAGTGTGGCCTGCATGTTCGAGCATTCATGGGGTGTGGTGGAGAGGTCCATTCGCACCCGAGGTCCTCCACCTACAAATACCACAGAGCTGTGGGTGGCTATCCAGATGGCGTTGCTCAAATCCCACCAGACATTTTTAGTCCACTTGTGGAATCGATGCTATGTCGGGTTGCTGCACTTCTCCGCGCTATGGGGGGTCCTACATGATATTAGTTCCCTTTGGCACGTCAGTGTAATGATGTATGCGTGCACTAGAGCTGCATTAGAACTGCACAATGAGTAGGACAAATTGTTAGAGCATTAGAACAAATTGTTGATTCGATTTAATATGAACAGCATACAGACACAATTCTCTCAGTCCAATTTACAGTCAAGTTATTTAATACAGTGGAACCAAATAAATTACACAGCAGGTTAAAAATATCCTCAGTGTCACCAGCAAAACAGATGATCAGCTGTTTGTTCATCTTTAAAAGAGGTAAAAGGTTTTTCCATAGTGCTGCTGAACGTGCTCGTGTGCACGTTTTGCTGCTACATGTCCTCACAGTGATAGGAACATATGACGTTTGCTCAAGTGAGGACATTTTGCTGGTCCTGTGAGGACATTTTGCTTGAATGTGTTGTTTTCACCACAAATTACTTTCTTTGGAAAAACTAAAAGAGCAGAAAATGTTCATTCTGGATCCCGAGGTTTGGGCTAGGTGTAGGTGTAGTGTTACTTGGCTACGGTAATACAAAAATCAATAGAAATCAATGGAGGTCCTCACTAATAATGTAAGACAAAGTGTGTGTGTTTCAGTGTATTTCACCTCAAATGGCCCCCCATAAAAAAGTGTCTGCGCTTTGTTTCTTCTGAATGCTCCTCTTCTTTTAACACTCTTTTACTTCCTCGCAGATCAGTCTCTCAGTCTCTCGCTCTCTTGTTCTTTCTGTTTTCTCTCTCTCTTTCTTTCTTCTTTTTTGCTTTCTCTCTCTTGCCTCTCCCTCTCTTTTTCTCTTTCCTTTTCCCTCCCTTTTTCTCTTTTGCTTTCTCTCTCTCTCTCTGTATCTGCCTTTCTGTTTCTATTTCTCTCTTTTGCCCTTTCTTTTCTCTCTTTCTTCTTTACTTCTTTCTTTTTTCCATTTTCTTCCTTTCTATTTTCTCTCTATTTCTGTCTAACTCTCTCTTCTGTTTTCTTGTCACTGTTTTCCTCTCTATTTCTCTTTTGCCTTCTCTCTTCTCCTCCTTTCCTCTCTTTCTCTCTCTCTGATTGTTCTTTTTAGGTGGAAATTCTAACAGGAGTCACAGCCTTTTCTCTGGTTTTATCTCTTAAAGGTAGAACAAGTGGCAATATTACTGTTATTAATGGATGCATTCATTTTGGTACATTATTGTAGAAGTGTTGTTGTTCTCCTCGTTCTCCTTTCTTTCCTTCTAACTCTTTCCACTTTTCTTTTTTCTTCTGACCGCGACTGTGCCTTTCAGCCTTGAGTGTACACACACACACACACACACACACCGTTGTCTTTGAAGTTGCCGTGGAAACCAGTCTAAGTAGAGCTACTTGTAGTAGGAAGGCAGAGTGCTTTGACTGGGCCACTGCAGTGAGCGTGTTTGTCTTCTTTGATTTGAAGAACAGCAGCTGGCCTCCATATTCACCAGGCCTGCTAATGATCCGGAGTCCTCAGATGAAACACTGAGAAGATGGATCTTCTGAAAGATCCTAATTCTACATTAGCACTGTTGGCCAGGCAGACTTAAAAGGAATACTTCTGCAATTTTCAACCTGATCTCTGTGTGCTACATTTGCATCCGCACAATCAGTTACCACACAGGCATTTATGTAAAAATAGCAAAAAATCCGCCGACATGTAATAGAAACCTGTGAGCAGTTGAGGAATTATGTTTAAAATAAGTTCACTACCATTCAAGAGTTTGGAAATATACACTGTTAAGAGTTTGTGTTGTTTTTCTACAAGCCTCAGTTCCAGAAAACACTGTGTTAAACACTTGTTTAAACGAAACAAGTACAAAGACAAGATCTTTAACGTTTTTCCTTATCAACTTCATTATTTCTTGTAAATATACGCTCATTTTGAAATTTATGACGTTCCAGGAAAGTTGGGGGCCAGGGGCAATTTAAAACTAGCTGCACCATTCAAGGTTCAAAACACATTTCATAGAATCATGTCTGAGTATAAAAGCAGTGACAAGCAATGGCCTAGCCCTTCATGAGCTAGGATGAGTTGCCAGTTTGCCTAAAATGTTCGATTATTTGTTGACACAGTTTGAGAACAACGTTACTCTACAAGCAAGTGGAAGGATTTTAAGTATTTCACCCTGTATGGCACTGTTTTTTTGCTGCTTCCACAAATGCAAGGCTGTACTATGCTAACTGTGCTGTACTAATGTACTGCCAAATGTACTAATACTAAAACATGTATTGTGATCTGACGAGTCAATGTATCACATTGCTTATGAAAATAATGGACGTTGTGTTCATCACACCAAAGAAAAAAAGGACCAGCTAGACTGTTACCCGTGTAACATCTCTGCCCGATGTTCTCCCAGGTCTCTCTCTCTACTGGGGAAAGAAGCTCGTATTAGTAGACAGTCGCCCACAGGTCTAAGCCTTTGCCGATCAGTCCGCGTCCTCACTCTGGCCAAGCCTCTCACCGACAGTCAGCACT